TCCTTTTTATTCGACCCTCTATAATTCAAATGTATTTTGTATTAATATCTGAATTTGTAAATACAGTACTTAATTATTATTTAAATAACAAAGAAATTAAATGTAATGTCAAAGAAAATTATTATTGATATTTCAATAATCGTTTTAGCGTTAAAGAAGTAACATTTCCTTCATTACTGAGTTAATTACAGTTGCATTAATTAAGACTGACGCGTGTTTTTCACATAGATCACAATCTATAATATATCAATCGAGAGTCAGTCAAGTGAATTACTTCTAATATCAAGACAATCAAAGGTATAAAGTGTAATCGAATCTTCTGAAATCGCTTGTGTAAATCTTCCTGTTATTTAAATTTCTAGGAAAACTAGATTCTACTCGATAACTGTGCTTGATCGTAAACATAGGAAATAAAAGATTGCAATGTAATTACATTGTAAAATGTCAGTGCAATTAATAATTAATCTGTGATTAGTGCGCTTGTACAAGAAGCCTTAAGTCATAAATAACAGATATAACTACATAATCGTACGTGATACGATTATAAGATGTAATAAGCTCACGATGCAAGAAGTTGTGACATGAATGAATTCAAGGCATTGAATTTTAATTTGCCAGCAGGATGAGAAAAATAGTTGCAAAATGGTGCATTTTGCACTGCAATTATAACAATACTGTCATGTGATTTGAACGTCCAAGGTTTTGGGTAATTTGCAATTAGGATAATTTGAAATTTGAATAACTTTTAATTTGGATAATTTGAAATTTAGATAATTTGCAATTTGGATAGTTTGAGATTTAGATAATTTGCAATTCGGATAAATTGCAATTTAAATAATTTGAAATATGGATAATAACTACAAATAAAATTTCAACTTCAAACGCGTTTTGAATAAGCAACTTATTCCATAAGATTGAAAAATATCTTACATATTTATATAAAAAGTGATATCTTTGAAAGAAAGACAAATCGTTAGTCTTCAATGAAAGATGTTTTCTTATTTGTGCGTTCTATTAATAAACACTCTGGAGGAAGAGCTATTTGAAATTCAATTTGATCAATCAATCGAGCTTAACGAGAGCAAATCAGATCGAGGCAGACGCGCAACTGGTCCAGCGTGCATTTCACGTGGAACCTAACGTTATGCATCCGCTGAATCTAACAAACAGTTACGATTATCCTTGATACGATGATTCAGAATGAGTTTAACGAACTTTAATGGATTGTCAAAGATGTTATTCCGAATGAAAACAACGATTCTATTTTAAGAATAGACGTTATTTCCAAGTTGATCTCTCCTAATCTCACCCTCGATTTCTTTAGGTATATAATAATTAATAAATGTATTAATGAATGTATTAATAAAGATATCACGTCGCTTACTTTGCTCAATTGATATTACGTCGCTTAATTGGACATTAATTTCTGAAGAAGAACTTCGTTAATTTCTTCTATTAATGTACTGCCTATATAAAATGCTTTAAAAATATTGATCATTCTAAAATAAATTTATAGATATTTCATATTAAAAATTTCTATTTTCTGACATTTTAACATAGCATTCTTTCACGTTTTTATCGAATCAATATCTTCATCGCATCTGTGTTTACCTTTCCCGTCTCTTTTCACAGTGAAATAATTAAACTTATCAGTTAAAAAGAAATAATTGTGTGTCAAAATGTCATGAAAATAAGATGTTCGAACGCTTGTTCGATGATTCGAGGACTTTGATGTCTCTGATAATATACAAGAAACGAGCTAAAAATTGATTTAAATCGAAGTATCGTGCGTTCTTGTCAAGAGTCATTCAAGTGGTAAGTAAATTGGTCATTGCACACGCCTAATGATTAATTCAATGCTACGAGGAAGCGTCGAGTGAAAAATAAGGAGAAATAGTTCGAGCTAGACATCAATGGAAATAGTTAATATTCATAATTAATAGAGTCAATGAGTTTCCTTTCATTCATTGGAAATTCTATCGAACCTTCGATTAATAAAAATTTATATATTCCTCAAATATTTAAAATGTTACCGATGAAAATTGAAGTTTCTAAATACGAAGCCAATGAATTCTACACGTTCCTTATTGTTTCCCAAACTGCATACACTGCATCGACGTAATTCTTTTCTTTTAACGTACAAAAGAAAACAGATTTATATATGTATGCTCATTGAATGTTTAAACAAGGAAGAAATATTTGCTGCCTGTTGACGCACGTAACACAAGTTTGCAAAGAAAGCAACGTTCTCTTGTTCGTACATTCATTACCTTGGCAGAACCTTTTAAAAAATTGAATCATTTGCACGTTAAGTATTCCTTTATTGCAGCGAAACAATAACCAATAATTCAGTCATCTTGTTAGAACTCGAGTTTAAGTTTCAATCAGTAAACAAGCTTCCACTCGACGCGTAAACTAATTTTAATTGTGATACTAATTTACTATGAATTTCATCTGAGGAAAAAAATAAAATAAAATAAAATAAATTGTGATACATTAATTTAAAGGGATTTCTTCTATCCCTTTTGTCAAGTAAAATTTTGTTTCTAATGTTAATTGCAAAATTTCATTGCCAATTAATGCAACCCGTTTACTTGACACTTAGAAATCCAAATGACGTCTTGCTTCCTGATTGGAACGTTACGAATGCATAAACACGTATAAAGAATGATTAACTGCAATTCTTATGTAAGTTACTAGTACTCCTACAACATTTGTAGTTTTTTTTTTTTATTTAAGTAAAAAGAAGCAAGCGATTTGATATGCGCATATAGTATTCAATTGCACGTCAATCGGCCGTTTACTACGTTGCATATTAATGTTGAATATTTAAAACAGAGAAAATTTTTATCAGACCTTAATTCGCAGCTTTCGAATATAAGTCGCGAAGTACATACAAAAAGTCTGACACGATTTCATGACATAAAAATATCACCAAATAACACTTACGGCATATCAATTTAAAGCAAAAGGTTCAATGAAGATGACTGCATAAATGTTTCGTCAATGTTCTTAACACAGATCAAATGATTCATCGTTGGACGTAAGAGCGAATGAACCAATTTACAGCTCACCCTTGCTGTTGTTCGTTAATGAAGTTTACCAATATTTGTTCTATCCCCATTTTGATGATATTATTTTCATTTTTAAAAATATTTACACATAGTTTCCATATTTTTTTGTTTTGCAATATTCAAGAAGGAAAAAAGTTACTTTCGTCCAAGCAATATATTTGCTGTTTGAATTTAAAGTCTGCTGTTTGCACCTATAATTCATACTTTCGGCGTTCTTGTAAACGAGGCTAATTACTTAAAATTTTGAGAGCAAACAGAGGAAAAATACTATGAACACCTGGCACGGTTTCAAATGGAATATTTGGAAGCGGTGAACAGGTTGTTCGCATTGACTAATTGTGTAATTAAAATAAAAGTAAAAAACGAAGAAAAAGCATTCCACCGCTTGGATTTTCGATGAAGATCCAAGGTTCTAGGAGAGGCCCTTTCTGGGTTTTTCTAAAACTAAAGGCAAAGAGGTGGATAAAATAAAAAATAAAATAATAGCATTAAATGCTAAGTACTATAATCATGAACAGTAGACAGAGGCCATCAATGTACGCGTTAAAGTTAAAGATTAAAAAATAGAAAAATTGAAATAGTAACAAATTTGTCTTCTAATTAATAGAAGAAATTTTTTGTATAGAGGTGCGTCTATTTACCCCATTTTATGAAAAAAATGATGAATAAGGCATTATTCTGAATGTAAAATTTATTTATATCGCAGCGAAGAGGCGACAACTCTGTATCCCGTCCTTGATTCCATGTCGACTAACAGAAGAAACGGAAACAGCCCGATAAATACAACAAAATTACGAGAGAAACAGGTATCCTCGATCTCGTCGTTGGCGAAATGAAATTCGTGCGTCACTGTTGCGCGTGTATTACAGTCGTGATATTTTGTTTCTTTGCACGCCTCAACGAAATAACACGAAAGAGTTGCAAGAACGTTAAAGGTGCATATTCACCGGCGAACAGTTCATGAGTCAATTCCAAAGAAGTCTGTGAACATTTCTTATAATACTTCACAATTATCTCAGAAGTATTATTAATAAGAAATTCACCAACAGTTCTCCAACACCTACGTAAATACTCTATTATACCAGTATATACCAGTATACACCAGTTTCCTGAAGAATCAGTCTGTTAGTTGTTAGCTGTGTATTGGATACTTGTTAAAAATGAAGAATTTGTTGAATAAAATTTTCATCGAATCTTAAGCTTTAAATTGATATACCATAAGTGTTATTTTCTGATACTTTTCTGTCATTAAATTATAACAGACTTCCTACATCCCAAAATAGGTACAACTTAATAAGAACGCGTCATCATATTATATTCAACTTCCAATCACTTATATGTCGAAATTATACAGGAATTTTCGGTCTGTTTTACCACGAAAAGATGTATATCTATACCTTTCCTTCACCAACAAGATGTTCCAGGAGAAAAGAAAAAACAAAGTGGTACCACCCTCAAAATCATGTTTCCTAATTTATAAATTTCAAGTTGATACACCATAACTGTTATTTCACAGTTAAAGTGCTATAAGTTCTAATAAAAGCAAGAATCTAAGTTTCTTTATAATTTCTTTCTTATGGTCCTCTCAATTTAGTTCTTACGGATTTAATTTCCCTCCATGGTAAGCTTTCTTACCTCATCTCCGATATTCGTACAGGCTGGTCCCACGGGTCTCTGGACGGGGCCCATGGGATATGCGAAACGGCGGGGTAAGGGAGGGCAGATACGCGAACGCGGAGGTCACCATTGACGCAAATCCATCTGGTAGTCACGTGACCGGCCGCGCTGGAACACAATACCAACCGCGCCAGCACCAGCTTTCATTAAATCCGCTCTTACACATGTGTACACGAGCGATTCCGTGTCAAATTTCATTATAATTGCGGTTTCTTCCTTCTTTTCAACAATTAAAACGCTTACCAACAATTAAGAGAAACTGATATATGTATATAGAATTTTTCACTTCTAGTTGAAGTGATACTCTTTCAGCTCTAATGTTACATAGATGATCTGAATGTATTACCTGGTTATAAGACTCATTAAATAAATTCTTTTATGTAAAATATTCATGACCTTTGAAAACTTGAAGGAGAATATTATTTGGTACACTGAATTGCCTTCTGCTGTGGTTCAGAATAGATTGGGGTCATTTCCTGTAAAAACACATCAATTTATTTTTCTATTAGTGCATAATATGTATCTTTTTTCAGATTTTATTATTTTAATTTGTACCTCATTAGGAGAATTTTTATATAATTGTAATTATTTCTTGGGGTGTTTTTCATTCCATTTGCAATTGTTTTCATTCCGAAAGGTTATGTTGTTATATGTGAAACAATCAACTTGGACACGATACCTTTAGCTTTGAAGGGTCGTTCAGCCCTCTAAAAATATAAAAAACACATGTAGCTTATTTTTTCTTTTATTATAATATAATAAAAGAATATTGAAATCAGGTAGGGACATAGATACCTTCCTTGTCAGTTCTTGGGTGAAACATAATTGAAACAGCATTAACAATAGACGGTAATTTATTAGTGCAGCGCCATCAAGCGGATAGGATCGGAATTAACTATTTCTAACAGGAGAGCAGGAAAAAAAGTAGGTGTGCCAAGAGGTATACAATGCATGTGCAGCATGTCCACCATATCTACCCAAAAATTGTGCCATCTCTTTGCACATTCTGCTATCCTATTACCAGGAGTATACTTGCCGTCACGAGAGTCCATAACTAACAATAAGACGCGCAGATGGTGAGAGAACGCAGTGAGCCTCGAAACTACCTCTCCGCTAATCGCTTCTCACTTTTGAAACAATAGCACGGCATAGGAGTGGGAGTATCACCAATATAATTAATTTAGGAAGATGTAGAATATTGTAGTTTCTTAATAAAAATTTCTTACTGTTAGTCAGGTGATTTTTATTGTTTTATGAACCTTAATCATTTTTAAAAGATTATTTAAACAATTACAAGTATATGATTTGCTAGCGAAGAGGACAGTCTCATACGACGCGGCCCACCCACGTTATGGAATAATGGGCAATTAACAAACAGCAAATTGATCATTCACTGAATACTAATTAGAACCGAATGAACAACTTGTCCACTTTTGTTTTGATTCTTCCCTTTCTTATCTCTATTGAATGCTTGGAATTTTCAAACTTCATTTCCACGATAGTATGATTCTTTGCTTAGTAAATAGTACTTAAAAATCATTTGATCATACTACGGTATTATTTGTCTTATCTGTCATCTACTCTTCGTTTATAATTTTTCCTCTTCTTGCGGTTAGTGACGCGCGGAGGTAGGTGCAAAAAATCGTAATTTATGCATAGATATTGGATCATTACACCTATTTGTCTTCGGTATTACTCAACAGTTGAAGTTTCATAATTGATGGAATGCATAAGGTTAAAACTCTTTTAATAAAGTTCTACCCAAGAATATCATTACCATTTTTGCCTGTGGTTCTTCTGTAACAGGAAAACTTATGCACAATCTGAAACAGGAAAAAATTTCAAAACTATACAACTGAGAATTAGGAAATACTTATCGTTAGACTAACAGATTAAATATATATGTATATATTCCTTTTTGTAACGTTAACTGCATATAAATTAAAATTTAATAAATATTTTTACAGTTATAATAAAAATAAACCAAAGAAGATTCTATAGTTTGTTATTTACGAGGTACTTTTTCCTTCATTATTGATGTTTTATTAAATTTCAGCGTATAGCTTGTATCTGCAAAAACAACATAATGCGTTCTGATTCAATGGAAATTGAAGTACTTAATGTAAATTATACGTACATTTTTGCAATTAATGTAATAATAGGCTTACTTTCAGAAGATTGATGTAATTGCTTGACAAATTCCTAGCAACGTATAATTGATTATTCATTTAGCTATTAAGACATTTTTATGTTATTCTTGTAATCATAATCGATTTCTGTGATGGTAATTTTACACAATCCTAAGAAATCTGAAAAATAAATATGTAAAATACAGTATCTATGAGCACACAAAATCATGTGACATTTTTTTTTTCTTTTACTTCTGTGTACATACCTAAGATATAGCTAAAAATTTATAGTACAATTTAATTGAACTCAGTCAGCATTCAATCAAAACTAAACGTAATAAATACTATTTTTAATTATAATATATTAAACGACTTTTATTATAAAATATTTAAAAAAATATCTTATTCGATATTTATAAAAATATATATGTATACTTGTGAGACCATTATCTCACTTACATTTCGTATAATATCTCATTTAGTATAAAAAAAATATTACAAATCCTAATGTTGATGTATTAAACTACTAAAATCTATTTGTATGTACAATTATATTATTTTACTTGATTCGTCTGATTTACTTAATCATTTTTCATATCTACTGGACTGAGAATTCTTAATACATATTGCAACATTTTAACTAATTCTTGTTCCTCTTTTCTGTCATCTACAGTTAATAACGTGAGTCGGCCTAAAGCTTCTTGAATACTCTGTGAAAAACCAGCGCTTCTTGCAATTAACTTTCCTTTCTGATTATTCGCTATTAAAGACCACAACATAGAACCTGCAATCTTAATTTCGCTCATAGATCCATTCTTAAATATATCATGTACAACGTTGATGAAGTCCACTGGAACATTTAAACAGCGTTAGAATTATTTATATGTATAATACAATATTAAATCGGTTTACCTGAACTAAGTAATCGTGGTCGATTGGCCATATTGAATGCCAAGTTACGCAATATGGAAATTGCAAGAATTCTGCTGGATGGTGATGAACATTTTGCTAGTTGTAATAAAACATCCAGACCGTCAACAGTCTAAAAAATGTCGTAACTATTAATCTATAACAGCTACATTTGAGTATTGTCAATTTTACAATGCTGTAATATCTAATTCCCGAGTGTATGAATTTAAAAATTTACAAAACTATATTTCACTTACCTTAGGTACGCATAACTGACCCTCTTGATAATATGTGAAATCAATTAAAAATTCTAAACAGTATAACTCAACTAATGGCCATGGTTTTGTTCTCTTCGTAGTGACCGGATGTATTTTTGTAAAAAATTGGAGGAGATTGCTCTACGGGATTTTATTTAGCAAGTAAATATTATCTTGAAATTATGTTTGATTAAAAAAAAAAAAAAAAAAAGCGTACCTTCGAAATTGAAACTCTACATTCGTGAACATGCACAGCATTTCGCAAAATGTGAAACGCAAAATGTAACTTGTGATTGTCAAATATTTGTCCAGCTTTATCTATCTCCTTACAGACTAATTGTATAATGACATGTATTAAAGCAAGAGTGTTAGGAGTTCTTCTGAGTCCCGTTCCTGGTAGGGTGGTTGTTAATGTTAATGACTGTGCCGCTAAAACACATCCAACAGAAGTTAAACAATTTATTAAACATAATACATGATATAGAAGTTTAAAGTTAACTAATAAAATTTTAATGATACCTATAGAACATTTCGTAGTATAAGTTGCAAGCAACTTTAAAGCAGTAGTAGAGACAGTTTTGCTTAACGCAATCCAAGCCCACAATTTATGCATCACATCCGCTAATCCAGCTTTCGATAAAACTTCTTTAACTTCAACGCTACCGTACATAAAATTCATTAACAACGTGAAGATACCATTTACATCGTGTAACAGCGGATGAATCTGTAAAAAAAGCAAACAAGGTAACTTTGCTTCATGTAAGAACGATGCTGGAAATTCCGTATGATTAACATTGTATAATTTCTAAATAATTATAACTGGAAAATCCAATAATTACCCAATAATTATAATTGGAAAATCCAGAATTCATAGCAGACGACCAAAACGACGTCAATTTAAATTGTATATCTAAAATGAATTATTTCCATACATACCTTTTTGTCACGGTCCATTTGATTCTTAAACAGTTCAAAAGGATGCATATTTAATCTAACATAGAATTCTTTTAATATCATTAAAGCTGTTTCAGGTAAATTTTCCTCCAAAGCGATTCCCTTAGCCGTGTTTGATATACACAGTAAATTAGTAAGTGCACTTGTAATTAAATCTTTGTCTTCATTTAATTTCCGGTTTTTCTTGGATCTGTTGTAGTTATGCGCAATAAATAAATGCAATAAGATACCGCAGAATTCTTCTCCTATTGCAATTTCATTTTTCTCGATTTCACCCTCTACTACTTTATCATAACTTATCAAAATATTATTGTTCTCATTTGGTTTTCTTGAATGCACACTTGCACTTCTCAACGACAGTTTATTAATATCTGATATAATTTCTCTTAAGCTATTTCTATAATCATTCGATGAAGATGTGAAAGTAGTATCTATGACTGTTTGCAATGAAATATTACTTTTCCCTAAAGAATCTTTCTGAATTTCTAGCGACAGAAGAAACGCAAGACATCCAATAGCGCTTATACGAAGTTCTGCATTGGAACATCTCATTGCCAGACAAATAGACGAAAGTACAACTTCCGGAGTGCATAATTCTAAAGCTGTTTGTATCGATTCAAAGTGCTGATTTTCTGTTAGCGATAATATGGCTATAAAATTGAAAATCTCAGTCCATAGTCGGTCTCGTAAAGAGACCAATTGTCCTGTGTCAGAAACTGTAAAAATTAAATTATTATAACTTGACGTATAACAATATCATTGTAGTTTATTTCAGCTTTCAACTTACGATATAGATCCGTATTCAAAAAGGAGAACACGGTGTACAACGACTCGGGAGAAAAATTAACAACAACAGTATATTCGTTACTATGTATGATACAATTTGTTAAAACCGTGAAAACACTAATATACATTTCCAAAATGTCGCAATAATGAGTCACGTTCTTTTTACTCTCGACATTTTTAGGAATTTCATTGATACATCTAAAATTGTAGATCATTAATTTTAGAAAAAAATCTGTATCGCTTTTTTCTAACTTACCCAAATAAATATTTATCTATAGAATGTTCATAAATTTGATGAACTACTTCTTGTTTTCCTACAAAAATCAAATTATTTAACAATCTACAAACAGCTGTTATCAGTGATGGTGTTGCTACCACTTGCAGACAGTTATCAAGGTCCGTGATTTCTGATGCCCTTGCTGAAACTATACATAATTAATTGTTACAATAATGTTATATTGTCTTCGAGTTTTTAAGAAAATAGTTAATCTTGATAATAAGTGAGAAATGAGAGGTATACATACAGGGTTGTAATTCATCCTGGCAATTATACAGGTATGAAATTGTACGCGGTACTAAAGATGTACTACCAGACTGTAAACTATGAATAGATGGGGCTTTTCCATTTTCTTGTTCCCGATTATCCGTATGGTCATAGTCCAAAGTAGTAAACATAAAAATATTAGAACACAAAACGGTGATCTCATAGTAAGTGTTACTTTGTTCCATATAAATTAAAATAGCATTTGCTTGCAAAGAGTTCACCTGAAATTTTATTTAAAAATATTTCTTACTGAAGTAAAAATAATATTTAATGTTTACTTACATATTGAAAAGTTACGGAATTGCAATTTTTCACTAAATTGCTGAATGCGAAACAAGCTTGTTCTCTAACTATACATGATTCTTCCCTACTAGCAATATATTGAAGTAATGTTTGACATAATTCGCTTGGCGCCAGCGCAATAGTGTTCAAAAGCTGAGCAGCTGTATGTAAATTATTTATTAAACCAGCTAACAATTGTAAAGCGGATGCACGAACTAAAGGATCTCGATTTTGCCATAACATGGGCAACCAACTTAAGGTACGACCTTCTTCGTACCAAAATACAACAAAAGCCTAAGCAAAATGTGTAATAATAATTAAATACGCCATTATAAATGAATATATTTCAATATATATATACTTACATTCTTATTAAAATTCATTTGCATCTGATATAATAAATGGTTAAGGCATATTATAGAATTTCTAGTTATGGATAAACCCATGAAACTAACAGTTCCAGCACCATGAAAAGATATAATCAGTTCTATCAATGTGTTACCTAATGTTATTAATAAAGTTTTATAATTAGCCCAGTGGCATTTTCCAATTAAATATGTTAAGCATGTTAACAACCAATCGAGGTAAGCTGTAATAAATGAAAATGTCAACCAATTTAATTTAAAACAAGAAGTTTTATAATATAAATTGTAAATAAATTTACCTAAATTGTAAAAATGTTGTTGGTCTCCGAAACATAAAGTAGAGACAATAAGTTCAATAAAATGAAGCCGAACATTTTCATTCTCGTCATCAGACTGTTCACCTTTTTCAACCGCTGAACAGGTTCGAGCTAATTTTAATATAGACTGATGTATGTCTTGATTATCTAATTCCGAATTTTTAAATAATTCTGCTAATGTTTTAGTTATATTCCTCATTATTTTGTTAGTCCACTTACACTGTCCTGATGTAAAGGCATAAATGTATTTATTTTATAATTTATGAATTATTTTTCTTACACGAGTAATTAAAAGTTACCGTTCTTGGTAATGTTGACGTAGATTTGCAGAAAATTTAAAACTTCAACAAATAAATCACAGTCTTCTTTACTTGCCGGCTGTGAAATTAAAAATCGCTCAAACGTTTGTTCCCAAGGTAATAAGCTTATATCCTTCAGATTTTCATATTGATGCATTTTGTATAATTTTAAATACCTGAAAAAATTACATTAAACTGAAAATACAAGCTACAATACTATTAAAAATATTATTAGCGATAATTACATTGTAAGATAATCAAGCGCACATAGAACTGATTCATGGGTAGTTGAATTTTGTATGTTGTATAATTGTTGCTGACAGTAATAAAAAGGATAACTAAAACGTAAAATTAAGAATTCACTTTCTTGAATTTTCAATTTTTCCGATATATCAGAATCAATAAGGTCATCCCAATTTTTCCAAAGTACATTTAAACCATCATTCCATTCCCATAGCCAATACTCTTTAATAAATGTCAATGCTAGTGAATTGGAACCATGAAGAACTAAAGAACATAGAAAAATTGTTAATATATTTTGTAAGAGTAATAATAACGTTTAAGTAACTTCATTTACCAGATATATCCGAGCGCCTGTGCATACTTATTTTCCAATGAAATTTACAAAGAAATGGTAATTTCATTTTGGATACAATAAGGTACGGCAAAGAAATATTTAAGTGATTATAGTTCTCTGCATATTTTTCACTTAGTCTCATGATATATTCATTATAAAGCAATAAACAAAGAAGTTGCGAACCATCAGTCTTAACAGATTCGTTGTTAGGAAATAAAAATAAACCTAAGGAATATTTATTTTAAATGAAAATTTGTAATAAATAATTATTAATTAGTTTTAAGATTTAGATACACACTTCTTATTATATTTGAGAAAACATTTATACGAGTAGATAGATCTTGCCGTATAGAGGATTCAGTAGACGCTAATAGTTTCAGTATAGTAATTATGGGAATTACTGAATCCGGGTAATTGATATAATCCTTTTCGATCTAAAGATTAACAGTAACTGTTAATGAAACACCTTTAATATAATTATAACAAAACTTTATACGATGATATTTACCAAAGCACTATCAAACACGTTTAATATTAAAGATAATCCATTTTCAGTAATAAACAATTTATGCAAAGAAGAATCTGATAGCATAACACTGATTTGAACTAATGCCGATTTTCGTATCTTCGGATCCACATTTGGTTCATTTAACATTTCAAGTACAGATAATAAGTTACTTCTCTGTAAAAGAAATATGTTACGAAATATTTTAATCAATGTTGAAAACAGTTATGGATACTGTAGTTTGTATGTATATAAAAACATGTAACCTGATAATTGCCTTCAGATTTTTTAAGAACACTTTGTCGTTCAGATATACAAAGCGAACTAAGAGGTAAACCGTGTAAAGAAGATAATCTTGGTAATTTTTGAATCGAATCTTTCTCTTTTCCAAGAAGCCAAATCAGCCGACAAACTGCTTCCTCCCTAATATCGTCATCCGGTGAAAATAGAAATCTTAAATTACCTTTTAAGACCTGTTAAATTAAAATTTTTAGTTGTCTACAATATTTAATGCTCATTAATTAAATTTATACTACCTCAATATAGGGTAACTGTATGCTAGAAGAAACATCGGGATCAAAAATTTTTGTTATGCATTGACCTAAAGTTGTAGTTGAATTAGTATGACACTGTAAAAGGGGTAGTACTGGTGCAAGAGCTTCTAATGACTTTAGCCACCCATCTTCTCCCATTTGCACTCTTCCTTTCAGTATATAAACTAATATTTCTTCTGCCATTTCCTGTATCTAATAAAAAGATAAATAGCTTCCAAATTATCGACGTATAAATTCTTAATATTATTTACAAAATGTTAACTTACCCTCTGGTCTTCATTTGTTACACCATGAGAGATTATTTCAGTTAAAACAGATGATTCGAACAAAAATGTTAAGCTTTCACAAGACAATCTCTCTCTATTGTACTCTACTCCAAGAATACTTTTAACTAAAGTATGACACTCGAAATACGTTGCATACTGTATGTCGGAATCTGCGTTCGCCAATAAGCTCAATATTAATTTTGTAGCTAACGCACGGTCTTCGTTATTTAAAGAATATCTTGAATATTAAAAAGAAATTGCATCTTAACACTGAATTCTACTGAAAATAATTAAAAATCTATAAAATGAAAATTATACCTATATATATTTTGTAAAAATCTGATAGTCTTTTTTATAATACTAAAATTTTTGTGATAAGATAAACTTAATTTCGAAGCGTATAACGTTTGCAGTACTTCAGAATGAGATAAACTAGACATATTCTTTATTATGGATATAGCTGCTTGCATTGATTTCGCTACCACTCTCGTATCGTCGAAGAGTTTAATATATGCAACTTCATCAATGCCTTGGAATTGCTATAAACAATAACAAATTTAGAAATGTTAGATATAACTATGATATTAGCTTGGAGAAATTAGAAGTTACTTACGCGGCAATATTCTTGCAATATAGAATGTAATCTTGGATATAATAAATAAATAGGAGCATCCATTATAGCTACACACATAGATGTCTTAAGAGATTTAGGAAATATAGCATCTGCTATTTCCAAAGGGACAATGTTACTTAACAGCTTCATTGTAACGGTTACGAGATGTAGATATGTTATTCTAAAATGATCAATGGTGCTATAGTTTCCAAAATATTCTATCACATCTCCCAAGATGCCGAATAATGCTTTCATATCTTCAGTTATTTTTAAAGCCATGTCATCATTACAAAGCCAAATATTTGGCATGACACTGATAATAAGTAATTGTACCAGCTCATATGTCAGATCGATCACATATTTAATATTTCTTAGCGAAAGTGTCGTGTTAATAGGAATACTTAGTTGTGAAATAACATGTTTTAAAGATTCAATACAAAATGTTGGTATAAACATTTGTTGCAATTGTAAAATCGAATCATCAATGTTTTCTGATACACTTTGACTTCTTTCACTTGTACCCTAAGTAGAAGAAAAGGCATTAGTCATTGTAAGTAATCTTACTAATGTGTAAATGAATATGTACTGTAGACTGATATGCTTGGTAATTTGCTTCTGGAAATCCTCCATCAGGACTGTCTCTAGTTTCTGAAGGGTAAGCACTATTGCCTAATTTCCCTGCTAGCAACTGAAAAATATTATTTTTATTAATATATTACATGGTATTAGTTTAAATCATATGTATTTACCTTTTGTTTTTTATTTGCAATACATGGTTCACAGTAATAGTAAATTCTCAATCTCAAAGATCTTGCTAGTTTATGCAGGGTCTTTAACACCATTGGTGTAACAATTCTGAGATTAACATTTGAAGCATCTGCACTAGATTCTAAGAGACTGTGCAATATCTGAAATGAAATTTTATACCATCAAGTATCAAAAACATATTTGATTTTTAAAGTAAAGTACATTTTTAAATATTTACAAGTATTATTGCTGGTCTCTGAAGGAACACTTCTGCTGGAAAATCTTGCATCATTACATTTGTAATAAATTGACACGTATGTAATATAAGATTCGTATCTAAACTGTTATTTAAGGCTTCTTCAACTGCTGCTAAGACACCTCTGTCTGAAGTGACTAAAGGTTGCCATGGTAATACTAACCACTTGATACCACCTTCTGTAGTCTTAGACACTGGTGTACCATCTCCACATTCCATGGTTAAATCAAATGGTACTGTACTGTAAATCATTTATTTGTAATTATAGTAATTATTATAGGATCCAATAACAAAGATACATAAAATACTCGCTTATCTAAGACAGAGGACATATTGTGATTCCCCATATTATCTATTTCATTTTCATTATCTCCATAATTTTTTATACGGGTTCTATGTTTATCATAATCAATGAACCCCATTTTTAATGAGTTGTTCTTAAAAACAAAAAATTATCAAATTATTTCATTTCTTCTTCAACATCTATAGAATAATTTTTATCATTGAAATGTTACAAACCTCTGTATGTTCATTATTTAAGGATGTTTGCAATCTACCTGAATTAAGAACAATTTCTTCAATTTCATTTAATTTCTCATACCATTCTGAACCCAATTTCCTTCTTAATTCATGCAGTTCATTTTGAAATCTTAATTTACCAAATGCATTCAAGTAACTTCTATCACCTGTCTTATGAAATATGTTATAATTAATGATTATTAAAATAATTATTAACATATTTCAAACGATTGAGAGATACCTTTAGCAAACGAACTAATAAATCTAAAACTTTCTCTGTCTCTGAGAAAGTTTCAAACGAAAACCAATTAAATAGTTTTGTTATTAGCTCTTTTTTCACGGCATCGCAATCACAACTAAATCCAAGATCAAATTTTGAAATAATATTGTCTAAGGCTCTTGTTCGAATTTCATCAATAGTATGACCTAAAAAAAATTTAGTAGATTCTTTTTGTCTTTTTTTTACTTCATCAAAATCAATTGCTGGTATTTACTTAATTTTTTAACATGCACCGCTGAAATCCCATTCATGTTTGACATTTCATTCAAACACGTTGAGGTTTTACATTTAAGGTTAACTATTCCAGTGTCTTTTTGAATATTTCACCGCCAATATTATGTGAATTACAGATGAACTTCATTCTCAACCCTGTACTCATGGAAGCCTACAGTTCATTCTTAATTTCAAATTACAGAACGAATATATTTGCAAATTGTACATTCATTCGTGATGTAATAGAATAGCGTTAGGAAAATTGTAAAAAGCAACTTAAACAACTATTTTATTACATCCACTTGTACAAATTCTGATACAAGAAAAGTATTTCAGACTTCAGCCTTAACGCATATGCATCTGTGCGACCTCTACCGAACAAATAATGAAGAACTTGGGGTGCAGTATAAACGCATGCTCATCTATATATTCTATTATTTAAATTTGCCGAGCACGCGCATATCGACGAAATATTCGTTCAATCGAATTTGATGCAGCATCACGATATAATACGACTTTGTAAGAGAAGAAGCACAGATGCCTGTTTCACGAAATTTACAGGAGTATTTTTCACCAAGATATTTATCCTAGCTTAATTAAATAAAGAAAAATTTGAAACTGAGTACTCTTGTTAATAGGAATCTTGCATGGGGTAATTAGGTAAAATAATGAACAAATTCTTCCTAATGTCGTCGGATTATGAAAGACTACAGATTTTGTTGCTGTCTTTTAGCTAGAAAAAGAAGTAGGTAATTAACAATGCTCTGTACAAAAATAATGATTCTAATTAATACTTTGAGTGTCGCGTGTACCACTGGTTGCCCATCAAAGGCGCACCTATGATTAAAAATGGAAGTATTCGAATTTAGAATACTTTTTTTTCCCATCAGATAAACGATTCTAATGTGATTCATTACAATATAATTGAAATCAATAGATTAACGCTTGTTAATTATAAATAGTATTCTTAATCGTTCAACTGTTTTAAATGCTAATTAGTAAAGATAATGAAAATAGTCTCATCACAAAACGACGACATCAAGTGAAGCAAACAGTGTTTTGAAAGGACCGTTTAATCACCTCACGAAATTTCAAGGATAATAATTCGAAGCACATGCCTTCCGCTAATGGGATTCGTGTGTAGGTATTACAATCGGATTAATCTCACAACACTGATTTACATAATTATGTACACGTCATTTAACTGCATATAAACGTACAAAAGGGATTAAGACTAATCATCGAATCGTTGGTAATCGTCTTGAGAGCGTCTCGTTCTTTATTATATTTTTTGTTTCCTTTGCAGAAACCAACACTGCATAATGTCTATTAAAAAACTCCAGGAAAACGTATTTTCGACGATGATTTATCGATGACAGAGCAAAGATTGTAAATCGTGAATCTTTCTTTCTTTCTTTTGTTAATATTCAATTATCCAATCATCTTGAAACAACTTTAATAAAATGATCTGCGATTCATTTTGAAATCTTTCGTTTTCATTGTGTTAATCAATATTCATTCATTTATTTTTTTTTTAGATTCAAAATAAGATTTTTAATAAAATTATACAAAGAGTTTCAAAAGAGGTATACTTTATGGAGATTATAAATTCTTTATAAGAAAAAAAGAAAACTGTTTTGGTATTTCGCCTCGTTTTCAAAATATAAATGATTAAACATTGCCTGCTCTACTTCCGGGGTGTCCCATTTAGGCGACTGAGCAAACAGCTGATTATGCGACCGCAGATGCTTGCATCCACACAAAAGAACATATGCAAATACATGAACGTACACATAGCTAACGCTATGAGATTATTTACACTAGCCTTTGATGCAAAACAGAGAGAAACAAAAGTGAATGATTTCTCACTGTTTAAATAGGGCAGCCCGGAAATGGAACATCCTAAATTGCATACCGTTGATTCTTAATTGGAATAAATAATGAATAGATTAGTACACGGTATTAATATTTAAATTATGATTAGCACAATGATTCTTTGAATAAGAAATAAGGTAAAATTGTTAGGAATACGTATTTATATTAATAAGCATCGACCGATTCCTTTGGATTTTTAACACGGTAATGGAATTGTTAGAAAACAGGTACGGACACGTTAATTCGATCGAGGACACCTGTAGCCATTGAATCGATAATCAACTGGCACCTTCGCTATTCGATAAATTAACAAGATACTAGACGACGCCTCGTTCGAGCGATCGTAAACGGGTACAAACGTTATTGCTTTCGGAATTCCGTTGTTCTAAGTAACATCAACGTGTATCACCTATGACACAAGCAAAGAAACGTGCGATCACGCGACACCAACTAATAATATCCTCGTTCATTATATCAACGCAACGAAAGTTTTAATTATAAGCGGAATTCATGTTGATACTTCCAGTATTCGTTATTGTGCTCTCGTTTTGCGATAAATTTGTGAAATATTTTCTACGACAAATTGGTGTATCGTTACATTGCTTTAATTGTAATTAAAATTCCTGCGAACTTTTCTTTTTGTAAAAATTCGTGTTCATTCGTTACGTAGCCATTTTTACAAATCAGAGCATCATTTTGGATTTCAATAAAGTTTAAATTATAAGAAGAAGAGTGATTATTAAAAAATAATCTTCTGATAGCTCTACCCCCCTTAATTAAACTGTCCCAACTTCCCTTTTTTCATTTTCCAAAATATTTTCAGTTCCATTTCTTTTTAGACAAAATTGGAATGTCTTGTGTATTATTTAATTTCTCTTAACTTTTACAATTTTCGATGGATGTTTCAAAACGTTAGTTGGATCAGTTGAGCCAAGGTGAACAGAAATATGAGTTTACAGCCACCTGTGTCTCTCTTGTACAACTTTTGAAACAACTTCATCAAATTTCTAGGGTACAGTAAGCACGACAAAGAGTCGCACGGTGTAGCTCGGTAACGCCTGAACACGTCTTTCCAATGGATCGAAGCGTGAAACTGTGTGTTTCTTTTTTATTTCATCTTTTTTTTTATTTTTTTTTTTTTTTTTTTAGTGATGCGCCTCTGCATCAGGTCGCGAGGAATCGATTACATCTTTTCCCAACGATGCGCCAGCGACGTATACGTGTATCGATGTTTAATTTCTCACGGGGCTTGGGGTAAGATGGACCTAAGGTTTGCCGAAATTCCCTCTGCGGTTAGCGTTGAATTAAATACACTTCTTCTAGTTTCCTTCCACTCTATCTCCATCCCGTATTCCTCTTTTTAATATCTTCAAAAAATTCAATCGAATATGGTCATTTTTGTTACGCATACATTTGCTTCATTTAAAAAATTAATTTATTCATTAATTCAATTTTATCATTCAATTATACTATTTAATTTTATTATACCTTCTTGAAATTAAAGGCTGACGTTTCAATACCAGACGAGAAGGTGTGTGTCTTCGACATCTGGTTTCAATTAATAGAGAAGCAAATGATTGTGATTAGCGACAAATTGAGCGCAGGTATAATTAATTAATTTCCAATTGATAATGAAATCCTCGTTAGATAATCAGAAATGATATTGGTTAATATAACTGTATAAGAATAAAATTGTAAGGAATTTAATTCAAGTTTTCATTTTTTCGATTCGAATGCTTGAAAGTTAAATATCGATCATATTCTCAAGAATTCCAATCCATTTATCAAACATATTTATTCGTACGTTTGATAAATCATCGTTGGTAAGTCGCTTTAGAATACGGTTTATAAATGGTGCAATGGAGACAGGGTGATATCTCTGCGACACTTTTGCTCGCCTTTAAAACTATGTACTATCAGTCAAGTATGTCTTCCGGTTTCGTTCTACGCGAGACAAAACTTATTGCTTTATGTGCTCGCCACTTGTGACCGATGCATCAACAAATTATATCTCTTATAATCTATGTACAGAAAAGCAAACAACTTATCGCAATTATCAATATATTCTACGTTGAGCAATTCGTATAAGTGGCATAATTTGCTGAGGAATTTTCGAAATTATGCTTCTGAAAGTGATCAGAATTTTTCGAAGAATAATCGATTTTATTACTCCACTGACACTTATACGAATTGAAAAGTTAATTAAAGAGTTGTAATAAATATACTAGGCCCCTTCGTCATTCGAAATTTTTAACATCCTCGAATTCTAGAATTATAAAATTCCAGATTTTCCAAATTTCTAATGGACCTAGCCCACCTCAGAAAAATGACTAGAAATAAACTAGAAAACAATGACAACAATAGAAAAAAATAATTTTTTTTTCTATGAAGGATGACCCATCACAGTGGCGTAATAATTCGCGATGGCACACAGGACACAAAAATGAGCGAAGACGATTGAAGCAACGACACGAATTCCTTTGATTCGAGTGCTTAGAAACGATGAAGGTTCTAAATGTTCGTCGTGTCACCGTATCAACCCTTTCACAACCATTTTCAATCCTCCATTTTTTAATTCATTATTCGAAGAAATTTCGAAATCGAGTTTATCTTCTTAACTCTTCTCCTGTAATCGTATACTTAATTCTACACATTGGTAACATTCAAAGAATCTACCCTTAAACGACGAAAAATTACAATTTACCAAACGACTTTGAATCCTTAAAAAATATTAGATACATTTCTATTCTTTTTTTTTTTTCTTTGAAGATTTTCCCTTCAAAAGTCATAGTACATCTTTTTCAATTTTTTTTCTCTTTTTAATTTGAATTGTGGACGAAACAAGTTTACATTAGGAAGAGTTAAGGGTTGATAGTGAAAGGGTTAAGGACAACGAGCTGGATCGACGATCGTATATGCAGTTAAACAATCGGACTCACGACGTTAACCGTGACCTAACGAGTTCCGAGTAACAACGCAATAATTAGGGAATTAATAAGTAGGGAGAGGAAGGGAGAAGAAACATTGATTAGAAACGAAAAAAAAAAAGGATTTCCCCTTTTCACCATTTCTTTCATTCTTCTCCCTTCCGTTCTTAAACATCTATCGAGGTAAGGAGAAACGTGGGTAATCACGACAGGAAACACATACACGGTATACGCTATTATAAAAAATAATAAATATGAATTACACGAGCGGAAACGTAGCGCGTCGAGGCTACAGAAAAACTTCGACGCCCCCGTTTCCGTTTTAACAATCATAGGACATCGACAACGATATATCTTTCTGTGTACGCGCCTTAGTTTGAATTTCAATTTCTCAATTTTTCGTCGACGAACATTGACGAGAAATATACTTTTTTTTTTATCCAGAACGAACGTTCTGTTTTGTTTTATTGCTGCTCATAGATGAAAATTAATGAGCAATCGTAGCGCGTTGTGTATAGTGTACGTGTAGGAATAGATACATTAAATACGTAGAGAACTAAGAGCTATCTATGACATTTTAAAATACTGTCTGGATCTTTGTCGATAGAGTATTCCCCCCCATTTTTTTTATTTCGGTTCAACGTCGCTGTACATTTTATGCGATTTTGTCTTAGCAAAACCTTATCCTATTCACCGATTTTGTATATATATATATATATTTATATGCACGTGTATATATATTATATAATACATATATATCTTGTATATACAATATATCAATTTTGTATGTATATAAGATGTGGTAAACGTGTAATAAATTAGTTGTCGTTTCACGTTTATTCATCCCGCCCCCTACCCTATACTTTTTTTTCTTCATCATTATAATTATATCGCGACTCGTTAATAATAACTAGTGATATGTATTCGTTTTGAACTATAGCGTTTTAGTTGATACGGCCCTAAGGTAGTCGGTTCGATCGCGATTGATCCGAAACAATTTCGAGGATCGATGCGTGTTCCACTTCGCGGACTCTATTCGATTCCACTTTGAATTTCATTGAACTCTCTTGTTTGCTACCACGGAATTATCGGTGATTTCACAAAGGGGAAAAAAACAACTTAATTTGCATGGTAATTATGCGCAAGCATTATCTGCTATTTTTAAATCGCACGCTAAAAGGATACCTACTATTGATAGAATGATCCGAGAAGATTGCTTTCTATTTTTTATAGAATACTTTTAATGATTTTCATTTCTGTAGAATTAAACACTTTGATTGCATGCTTGTATTTCTTTATTTGTTAATATACTCCATCCAACGAGACGAGACAATAAATGCATAGAAATTCACGTGCTCGAAGCAGGCTCGGCTCACGGTACACAAACCTCGACCGAAACGTTTGAAGAATTGGAAACAACTGAGCTTCGACCCTGCGTCGAGCGCGCGAATTTGTAAACATATCCTGATTCGTCTCGTTGGACGGGTTATAAACATAGTTTATTACAGTTATTTATATCGTTGATAGAAGTGATACTTTTTTATTATCATGATGAATTAATTGGAGAAATTAGAAGGAAATCACTTGTACGTTTTACAAGGTTTGATGTATAGCAGAAATATAGCATGGTAATTAATTTGATTAATTTATAAAGAAATAAGGATCAAACAAGAAGAATATAATAGTTGTTATAAATCAAAATCACAGGAAATTGTGGATAAAAAAAGGGAAGAGTTTGATCAGTAGTCAGATTTACTGCACCAGAGGCTGCGTGCAGGATGATGCAAATTTGACGGGTTAGCCCTTCGGCGTTTTATCGAATCAACCTTCGGCCGATTAGGCGGACAACGATTTTTAACGGGTCATCGCACAATAGCCTTTTGTGTCGTGTCAAAGGCCAGCCAACCTCTCTCGGGGTGGCTCCTCCTCTCTGGTGAAAATGCGAGTTGAACAAAAGTGGCATTGCCTCACGGCAACCTCCCTTTTCTCCCTGGCCTTTTTTCGATAAAAATGTCCCATTGTTGCATACCTCGGTCTTTCTCCTTCCTCAAGCATTCGTGTTTTCTCTCGTTCCCGTTTTAGCAATCGACGCCGATTGCTATCGTTTCGCGAGCTCCCTTTTTTATTTAGCGTGTGCTCGCTTCGGGAATAAAAAAAATTCTGCGCTTCCTCCTTTCCTTGTTCCAGCTTTGATCTATCTATCGTAAGCTTCTAGCTTTCTGCTGTGTTCTCTGTTTGAAAACTGTTTCATACCGAAGATTAATGGTAATTCGTACAGACGAAATTCAATATTACATCTGCGCATGGATCGTTATTAAAATCTGCTAAACTGCACCGCTGTTGCATAACGATATGCAACTGCGCCGAAACAAACATTGCAATATGAATTGTAATGATTATTTATTATGGTGGATGGTCGTTTAATATTGTATTGTTTATCGAAGAAATTTGGAAATATCCCGAAATATGGATCAGAAAAAATATGCAGTTGCATCGATGCAAAATTGCAGCGACATTGCACCATGCGTTTGCGGAATTCAACAACCGGTGTAATCTTTAATTGCGATATGCATACCGTGCAACCCCATAGGATGTTACATTTCGTAAAATGATATTGTAATGATCGTACTTCATTTGGCAAATTGAACAACTGTCGCGTGACGATACAGAATTGCAACAAATCAGATACTGCTGTATTTATTGCCGGGCATGAATCGCAACTATTTATTATGGTTGTTAAATTGTTTAAATTGTTTACGAAAAAAGTATTTTGTGATATGGTATGCAATAATTTTGGGAGCGAAAAATTCATATAAAAAATAAAAATAGAAAATGCATTAGAAAATCAGATTGTTCTAATGAACAAATAAATTTTCTCTATTTTAAAATCTTTTTTTTTATATGTAAGAAAATATGATTATAGCATTTAATATTAGATAGTTTGATTAGCAGATGTTTGATTTTGATATCTTTCTGTAACTATGTTTGAAAATATTTTAAATAATATGCATCTTTTATACGGTACTAATATAATATCAAATTCTGTACAGGAGTAATATAAGTCTCTATTTAAATATAATTTTATGATAATATTTATGGATAACAGGATATGGATAATCGAACACGATAAATGGAATTTTCAATCACAAATACCTTGATCTATGTACACGCTTTTCTTGACATTGTAGATTTATCTTGGAAAGAAAACCATTATCCGATGGAAATACAGCGAATAATATTCTGAAATGGTGTTCGAAATTCGTATGAAAATTCTAGGAAAATCTCGATGGATTTCGATCTCTTTTCGTTTGATTTGTTCACTTTTGGAAAGAAATTGTATACTTCTCGTTGTAAATTTTAATCTCTAAAAAAATATTGAAATATTTCTCCTTGATTTCTAATTTCAAGCATAGAGTTCAATGAAATTCCGAGATCATCTCTTTTATTTCGTTTCTCTGCCAAAAATTGAAGAGGCATCGAGCCACGAAATTGTGTTCCGATCGTTTCGACGTTTATGCTTTAAAATCCAGCCTCGATCGGTGTCTTTTGTTTCTTTGAATAGTTCGGTGCCTGGTATCGAGAATCGACATCGAGTGCACCAGACAGGCAATTCTTGATATGTATCGTTTCCAGCATAGCTTATTGCTTAACGTACAGCTACGATTTAAGATCCTAGATTTTCTTAATTCTATTTACACCTTAATGCTCCTCACGAATTAATATCAAATACTTTACGACCACGCTCCTATATTTCCCTCGAATAAAATTAAAATTTGCAAAAATTACAATTAATATCCGTGGAAATATAATTCAAGGATCGTTGAATAATAAATCGTGAATTCAAGGATTATTATGGTTTTTATGGTTTTATAGTTTCGCTAAATCGCGATCAGGGAATATTGATCCTCTTCGTTCCACAAACAAATGATTTTATTTGATTTCATTATCGGATTGTCGGAAAATTGTCCAGGATATCGTGTTGCTTCGAAGTGATTGTAAAATTAAATTGATTGTTCGGTGAAAGTTCCACTAACCGCGATTTAGCGATTTCGTTGTTGGATTAAAAGTTAAAAATTTCAAATCGTTCCAATCGATAGAAATTGAAATAAATGATTTATGTTTGTTAGAAATGAATAGTTAAGAGTTTCCTTGTGTTTTAATAAAATATTTGATATCTCGTCGTTACTTTGTCGGCGATACTTGCTTTCGTCGCACTGTTTCTTAGACGAAACGGAGGAGTTGTGTGTACACGATAAACAAAGTGTATGTACATATGTCATTCATACCTTTCGATCACAGAAATATCATTCAGGGAGTCGGTTGTAACTTCATTTTGATACACTATTATCCAAACACTTGCTGTCCTTCTTCGTCAATTAATTAAAAATTGAATTTAACTTAATTTTTTCATACACCTTGCGCAAGGTTTCAGAAATCCATCATCCAAGAATGAAAATTAATTATTCTACTTCAAGAAAGATCAATTAAAGTCATTAAACTTTCAAAGAAAATTACTGAAAAGAACAGAATGCTTGTTTTATATAATAAAATAAAAAATTCTAACGATACTTGTACGTTCAATATTATCCGTTCAAATTTATCGTAACACTTCCGCTTTGAAGGAAGAGCCTCTCCCTCCTTTTCCTTCCGTTTCCGCGCGAATCTTGCCTGTAGCGTCTCTTTTAAATAAATCAGCAATGCTCTCGCGGGACCCGAGCAAAGCAGAGAAAAGAGGAAAAGGAAACGACAACGACAGAAGGAAGTGAAAAAAAAAAAAAAAAAGAAATGGAAAAAACTAAGAAAAGATAGCTGGTGGCTCCGAAGTGTTCTCGAAGTAAAGGATGGAGACACTTTCGCCAGATCTTGAAGAACTTCTGCCTGCCGGTATTACCGCGGTTCGAGGCCTCCTTCTACCTGATGAAAAGGAACTAAACCCACCTGGAAATAGGTCTGAATAGAAGATAGATGGATTTACACCTTGATCGAGAAGAAATTGATTTAATTTTGTAAATGTTCGCAACCGCGGGAAAGGAACTGTACCGAAGGTTTTATTCGTTTGAAAAAGAATTTCTCTTCAGGAATTTCTTAACTCTTTCATTACGAAACACCTCGATGGCTGCTGTCAGTCAAAGAAATTTCGAATAACAAGTTTCGCTAAGTCCAGGAAAAAATTTAGATGGTAGAAGACGAAATTGATGGATCAACGTTCCCTAGATTGTTACCGAACATTGTAACACGGTTTGTATTAAAATTGTGGGATTAAACTGGTAGTTTCTAGCTGATTTTCTCGATAGATACAAGGGAAAACTTTCGAGATTGAAGTTCGAACATTGTTGAAGTATTGTAAGCAGATGCGAAGGATCAGCAAGTTCTACGAAGAACATTACTTTCAGATGATCGATAATGTTAGGAGTAAGGTAGTTGGTACGTTCAAGGATGCTGGAGAAATTACGTTCGTGCTTTTAACGTGATATCCTTCGCAGCAGATAGTATAAATTTAAAAATAATTCTAATTAGAAGTGTACCAAGGTGAAACTTACGAACCGACTGGTCGCGAATAAATCATCTCGTCATCGAACAAAGACGGTTTCACAGTGGAAATTTGACGGAAGCAAGTATCTTCGAACGTTTCTTATACTCGACAACGCGATTACGATATGTTAATTCTGTTTTTAACCACTAACGGGAGCCCACGAGAGAGTAAAAAAACGAGACGAGGTTCCTAGGCTCACCCTGTCCAGCCTGCAGCCGGATACTCTTTCCGCTCCGGTTTCGCTCTCGTTAAAGTCTTTGGTTTCGTTCGCTCCATTCGACACCATTTGCTCTATGTGCCTCGAAGGCATTGTGTCAATTTCCTACTCGACCCTTCTTAACGACTCGACTCGATTCAATTCGATTCCGTGAGTTTGGCGAAGGGAAAAGGTGGAATAGATTCGATTATCCGGCCCGTATCGGGCTACCGGCGAGCACCTTGTTACCAAAACTTTCCGGCAATGCTTTACGTTCCAATTTAAACATTCGCCGTCCATGTGTGGCTGATGGCTGAATTTTCACAGAGACGCGTGTTATCCGTTTTACCGATAATTTCGCTGGAAAATTAAAGTCTCCGTTTTCTCTGTTCGGAAAGAAACGATGTTCATTCTCCTCGACATATTTGCCGTTCGAAGAACTCTATCTGAAATAGTTATTTCTCGAAGACGCAGCTTTGTTCGATAACCCGATTCGATTAGAATGTAATGAAGATCGCATGGCTAAGTATAACGCGGTCTCTCAAAGTTCAACGAGGAAAAGTTTCAACGATGTTCCCCGTTCGTCGATTAATACTCGGAAAGGGAATCGATCGAATCGAAGAGGTTGTTCCAGAATAGACGGGAGATTTTATGAAACGCAAAGTCGTGCTTATTAAAAGTTTCAAAAGGAGGATATTCTCGGCTCTGCTCGAATTAATGCGCATCGAGATCCATTTACTTTGATTGTACCATCGATAACAGGACGATTGCGACTTGTTAATTGTTCAGAAGGAATCGTTCTTAAGTGCTTATGCATCTTGCTGATACAAAATGAAATTGTTTTCTTAGTTTCCTGAAAATATCTACAAGAATTATGATTCACAAAACGGGACAGTAAAAGCAGAAAATATTTTTCCTCCTTTTTGAAAACCAATTTTAAATACAAATTCAGCATCTTAATTCCGAACGAATCAGTCGGCCGTTTGCGAAAACGAATAAATAACCAGATCCGGTAGTCCGTTTAATTAATGCCAGCCGCTTTGAAGCCACAATTAATTCTGAATGAAGAACGAAAGGAAAAAACACTCGCACGCACAGTTGAAATGGCTGGGGTAATTAACGCGTGATGGAAAGACGTCCGCGGAAACGTGGACGAAGGATCAAAGGAATGGAGCAGAAGGAAAAACTGCGGTTCGCTTTCCATGAATTTTCGGATGTTAAATTTTCGACCCTTTATCCTTTGTTCGCGAACCGATGAAAATCAGACTCCTGGGTTCTTTATAAAACGCGAGTTTCTTCCTTCTTTTTTTTTCGAATACCCATTTTTTCTCGCCGCGGTTTCGCGCGCTGCATTTTAAACGCACAGAGAAAATCAATCGCGTTATGTGAATGTTTTTGAAATTGAAATCGTTCGATTCGCGACACGTTTCGGTTTATTCATGCACCAGGCAAATGTAAATCTCGTCGCCACGTCTTCTGTACATTGTTTTTTTAAAAATAATTTTTGTACGCGTGCTCTTTATACACGACTGGAAATCTTGATAGAGACGGTGTTCGATTGAAACAGTATTTCAAATGAAAAATAGAAATATTTATAGAGGAGCTTGTTCTATTGAATTTCTATTTGTATTTTATGAAAGTATCCTACTAATTAATCAGAGTTTCTAACGTCATTAAATGATATAATGAGAAGGGTTTAGGTATAATGGAAGCAGGTAATCATTGTCAACGACAAGATAGCGTATTATGGCAAGCAATTTGTCTTGCATAACTATTTAACACGTCGGTCGCGAAGTGATTCGCGAAGAGCGTGTTGGTTGGCGAACGAGCGTTGGAAAATTGCCAAAAACGTGAGAACGGTTATCGCTGACAATGAGGGGTGGGTAGTAAATGTCAACACTTCCGCAAACACAGCTAGCATTTAGGCAAGTTGAATGTTTCAATTTTCTACTTTCCTTGGCACACGATCCCTTTTAAGTATTTCCTACTTCTACAACCTTGCCCTGATTGTATATCATTGTTTCCCCCATTTTTTTGGATACTAAACAAAGAATCTGAAGAATTCAAATAATTTTCAGGTATAAATAAGTAAACCATTGTTACCTTTCGGTACCGCATGTAACTGAAAGGAAAATTAAAAAATAATTTTTCATATTGTTAATTTAACGCTAGAACTACCAGACAGGTCAGAATCACTTGTTTCAAATTCGTTATTTTAAATTGTAAAATTTATTAAAGTGTTTTTGTTGAAATAAAGAATTACTGTCTATGCTGGTTTATTAATTAATTCTTTCTTTTTCGAGCAACAATTTTATCATAAACGACAAGATCTTGTTATAAAATGGTTTGTGATTTTAAACGAGAAAATAGGAAGAAGCTTCTCGTAATTAGAGTAACAGAAGATGAATTCATCGAATTACACGGTTCATTATTCGACAAATGAACTTCCCGGTCAGAGCTTACACTTTATCGAAGAACATTCTCGCGGGACGATTGCTGCCTTATTATTATCTCAAGGGACCAAAGTCATTTCCCGTACACGAAGAAACTAGCTATCGCATACTAATAGTCGATTAATGGAAAATCGATCCAGAATTTTACTGTACCCCAAGCGACCCGATTAAATATCTTATAGACGGTGACGGTAATGGTCGGCAAAGTTCATTTCTGCACAAGGTACACCTGGTTCCTAAGATTTTCAATATTTCTTACGTCACAGAGATTAATTAATTTGTTTGTCATTCGTGAACAATAATATTTGAAACGCTTCAAGTATGTTTGCAATCAAAATTACTCTACTGGAGTCTCTTCCCTTATGAATAATTTATATGTAATAATAATTATAAATAATAACAATAATAATAATATCAAAATATAATAATAATTTTGATTGATTAAATGTTCACCAAAATGAATATTTTAGATTGAAATTCGAATAAATAATTTATTTCTGTTCCATTATAATCAGGAATAAATAATTTATAATGATTTTCACACTGTAATATTGAAAGGGAATCCTTTTTGTCTTCGTAACAAAAAAGGATATCGAAGAAGACGGAAAAGAAGTATAATACTTGCACTTGTTACGAAATGTATATATTCTCTGGTTTATCACTTTATTCTCTGTTTGAATATCATTATAGAGTGACGTAAGGTCTTGTTATCCTGGGATCAGTGCATACGTGGTGCATATATTACGAATGCATGATCCTTTAACATTATCGTCTGTGCATGCATACCTGTATCGTAACCAGGAAAAGATACGACAATTCGAGTGATAATTTTAAGACGGTGCAAGAGAATCATAAAACAAAGTACCGAGAGAAATTAACTTCCTCACGTGTTTCAATGTAACACCATTTTTCCCCTCGGCAATGAGAAGAAAATTGCCCTGAGGTTTTTCATTCCCTCACTGCCATCTCTGCAAACTGTTCCCAGTAATCAAACTAGAATTTCTAATTCAAGGAAAATTAGAATTTCCACATTTCCTCGTTACTCTTGCTTAAAAGAGAATATAATTTCTATCTTTAACCCGAAACTCGTCAATTTTCTTGCTGAAATAACTTAATCCTTAAGCTCGTGACTTTCTTGCAGCCAAGATTTATATTCTCCAAATTCGTGGAAAAAGTCTTAGTTACTTTCCGAAAGAAGCTTCAAAGTTTTCTCGACTCTACGAGGACAAGGAAAAGGTGTTAACTAGCTTTCGACAAGGATCCACGTAAAAAAGGTGAAATCAGGACATCGCGATCGTGGTCGCGTAGAATGCGAAGAAAAAAGAAAGGCGGGGGGCGGTGAGGGGGAACGTCGTTGAAATGCTTGAGAAGAAAGCTGAAAGGGTTGAAAGTGGGACGCCCTAGTGGCTGAGAGAAAAGTAAAGGAAGGGAAACATGCAAAAACGAGAGAGTAACTAATACGGCAAAAGGGCGAGTGCAGCTGAAAAGTCCGGTTTTATTGCGGGTTAGATTGAAAGAGAAGAGTGGCCGATTGCACGTTAGACTGAAAGATAAAAAAGAAAGTAGGGAATGTGGGGTGCAGAGAGAAATGGCGAAAAGAGACAAAGAAGGAAGTGAAGATATTCAAACGAACTAACATATTTCTGAAAATAAACCTTCCATTTCGAAGTAGAAGATTTCATTTTCAAGACAACCTGCCATCTTCCAATCAATAGTCATTCCATAAAGCTTAGAGTGTCTGGGTGGTCATAATGGAACAAATGATTCTAACGATCTCTACCTTAGGTACAGCTCGCCAATACTGGGAATTTCTCTCGGTTTGCGACAAGTTTTAGGGTGGTCATACGCTCTGCCTTTAGGTTGATTAGTTCAAGAACCAGAGGCAATTAAACGTGATTGGACATCGTGTGCCCATTGTCCTTTCTTATCAAAGGGAATCAATTATCCAAATTAATTTGTGAATTGTTTGTAATACGAAATCTACAAACAAGTTCCATTCAAATTTCAACTCTATCGCTAGAAGTTAATAAATAATTTTTCTATTTTACCATTTTTCAATAATTCTTCAAAAAAATCATTGAAACCGTCGGTTAGAAGAAAATGAAAAATTATAAGATTTTAATGGTTCAAGAGAATCATATAGTTAGCCAAACGAAAAGCACATTCGATATCAGTCGGACACGCGAGAAGTCGTTCACAGGACTCATTTAAATACGGAAATAAAGTAATTTCGTGGGACAGTAGTAATAACTTGTTGGTAACGGGGTACGTCGTACGTAACCGTCTACGGCTTTCCTCGGCTTAGATTCATTGTTATCGTCGTTTAATACCGCGTGTAACGACGTTCGATTAATTGTGATTACAATCGCTCACGACACTGCTAACACCGTGTCTATCTTACATTCCCTTACCAAGGTCGATTTATGAAAATTTAATAACCTGCAGAATTTTTTCTTTTTATTAATCTAAACGCTATTTCATCCAGTGCTGTTATAAATGAAAAATTTCTATAAAATTTAGACATTGATACTTTGAAGAAAGAAACGTGTAACGCGGTGGTTAAAGTCGACGGAAAGTCATTGATCAGCTAATTTGAGGGTGGACACGGGTAAAGTTTTGGATCACGGCCCAGATGAGCGGGATGGCCGATGTAGAGCGAGGAAATGAATTATGAAAACAGGAACTGAATATCAACGTAACAGAGCGCGTGAATTATTTAACGATCCTATTTACCAGGCTCAGAGCATTGAATTAAATTTACGTTCCGGTCATATACAAAAATCATCGTTGAACAAGATTAATGAAACGGCCACGATTTAACAGGAGGGCTTGGCTCGATCGAATCTTGATCTTCAAAATTATTTTTCTCTACGTCAAAGTGTTTCATTTCTCTCGCTCGACGCGTTGAATCCAATTTACATTCGAACAGGTAGAAATGATTTATGAGCTGAACGAAACAATGTCGATGATTTATGCATTTATCGAACCCTCTTCTCTTTTTTTTTTTTGGAAGGATCGAGTTTTGAAAATGATCAAAATATTCTTTATAATTTCTTTGATAATGGATGGATAATTTTGGTAAATGGAAATTCTCGCGAAATTCAATTAAATGATCCGCTATATTTCATCGGAACCTAGCTAATTATTCACTTGCATTCTAATTTATATGCAACCCGAGTATCAGTTGCGAACGGTGCATTAAGAGGTTCCTCTAGAGCTTAGAATATCAGAAACGATAACATAGCGAATGGGAAACTGTAATCGTTAATGGTTTAATTGAATTTACATATCCAACAAAACGTATATTGCAATATAACTGAAACACCATAAATCATTCATCAGTCGTTCATCGTAGTTTCCAAATAAAAAATCACCCTGAAAATTTCTCCCCAAATGAAACCCTTCAAAATGGTAGAATTATTTAAATAATTTTACAAAATAGAAAAAACATTATTTTCCTTTAAATTTAAATCTTTTTCAGACTTTTATAAAATTTGAATACGTATCCTGACTTTTAAGTGGAAGTGTAATTATTATTTCTCTTTCAACGTTTTCCTGAGAATTTCAAAAATTCTCTTTCAGAATGGATACTGCAACGAAACAAGCAAAAACGTAACAATACCATTCGAAAATACAAGCAATCTCGTTATTTTCGAAAAATTCAACTAACCAATGAAAAACATTTAAAATGGAATTTTCGTAATACACGCCACGTTTCTGTCGCGTTTGAAGGACAAAGGAAAACTTCCTCTAAGAAAGGTTAAACGAAAGAAAGGAGTTAAGAAAAAAAGAAGAAAAGTGGACACGGTGTTTTTAATACAGCGAATTAATTCAACAGCTCGTAGTGGTCGCGGTAGAAAGTAGCATTTTTCCCGGGGCTGGCTCGTCTCCACGCTTTCTAATCTTTCTTTTCCCTGGCCACTTCGCCGCCAGAGATACAATTTATTCGCGTGACTGACGTGTACAGGACTTGGCCCTTCCGCTTCGTAATAAGGCATAATTCAGCCACGCTCACCTGCTAACTCGACCTGGCACCGGACGGATACACACGATGGACGACCTTGTTTTCTATAAAACCACCTCTCCCTTTGGACTTTGCTTCCCTCAAACGAGTCTCTCGGGTGTTACATTTTAATCGACCCCTTAAATAAAAGATAAAAGAGCCATGATTTTGGAAAAATTCAGGAATAAAATTCTAATTTGAATGTAGCTGAACCCGAGGATTATTCTAATAAAATAGAGCGTTCAAGAATAAGGAGCAATTTTTTCTTCCTAAGGAAAATTGATTTCATCTCGAATGCGTAAAAATACCCTGACTGGTGAATTCATATAATATTACAATTAATTGCTACAATTTTTAATTCATTTCTTTCGACGACTCCAAACTCTGTTAGCGGAACAATAATTCATATCTGAAGAAATTATCCAGAAGAAGAACGTTCTTGGCGCACTAAAAAGCTTTGAAAATCTCGAGAAAGATTAAATCAAGCTGCGGAAAGTTTCCAAGTGAGTTTAATCGAAAGTGATCATAGCGGAAACCGCGTTAGTCGGAAAGTGTACGGTTCCTGGTGAATTTCACGAAGGAATCGAAGCTTGCATCGTGAAACTAGTGTTGCCGTGTTGAATTTATAATACGGTATGACAGTCATAAACTTTCCCAGCTGAATTCTTCGAAAAGGATACGAGGCTGCGTTCGGATTGCAGCTTGAGTAAACGTAATTCACGAGCGGATCAAAGCTGGTCCCTTCTGTAAAGATTAGCTAAGATCAAGCTCGGTGGCTCGCTTTGATTAGCTGACGAATTAGCTAAGTTGTTGAATTAGCGTCTGCTTTATATTTGTATTCGACGATCATCAGCTCCTTTGAATACGCCAAGAATATTTATTCGAGTGTGCAAATTGCATGATAATTCGTGCATCACTGTATTCTATTTTTTTATTTTAATTAATTTCTAAGTTTGACGAAGCAGTCTAATTCGTGAATTCTAAGATTTCTATCTGTTTTTTTCTTTCAAAAAATTCACGGAATGGAATCGGATCGAAGATGATTTACCAAGATCGTGAAAGAAATTTTACGATGATGACGTTCAAGAGCATGGAACGGATTCAGAGGAAAGTCGGAGCGAATACTCGTATTTTCAGTTTTTTCCACTTTCTTTCGTACCATCCGGCTGCTATCGAGTGCTCTGTGATCGAAATTCAACTTCTGTCCAGGCAGAAAGGTATTTATTGCCAGGAATAACAGGGCGAACCGATGAAAGCTGCCCATCGAGGATACACGACTCACTGTTCTGTAAAGCGAATTATTTATAGCGTGTCTCTTCATTTACAACGAGCAAACGACTGTTTCTATTCCTTTTGTTCCCTTTTCAGTTTCTTGCGATTAATAGGAGATACCGTTACGTCATGAAATCATGTCAGACTGTTTATACTTCAAATTTAGATATTCGACACAGTAGAATAACAGTGTTCGTTGCGATCCAGGACTAATCACTCTGTGTTAAGAATATCAACGAAAGTTTTATACAGTCACTTTCGCTAAATCTTAACCTTTAATTTGATATACCACAAGTGCTAATTTACGTTACCTTTATATCATGAAATCATGGGAAAATTTAGCACTCGATACAATAACCGAATACCTATCCTGATAAACCCTGTATACACCATCTAATACAATGAACTCCATTAGTGAAACAAACCTCTCCTTTATCTTCCTGTCTCTCCATCGGCCATTTATCTTCCAGATTCAGAGAAGGTCAGGGAGTCAAGGATAGACGGTTTCACGTCTATCATCCCCCATACAAATCAGCTAAGCTCGGGAAGATAGAACTCCCATGAAACCATCCACGACAACTTTATTCACGGTTCAAACGGATCCTCGAAGGAGAACAGTTTCTTTTCGATATCGAGCCTCTTGAAACCGGTGCATTGTATTTAAATAGCTATGTATTCCTATCCGGATAACATCGACTCCTTGGCGAAGATCAATTTGCTTTTTATTACCGTGCAACAGCCAGACGTATTTTCGTTAGCGAAAATTACCAACGGTTTCGAGTAATGGCTCTTATCACTGTGTATGTGCGTGTGCCAGGAACAGAGACAAATGGTGGATATCCAAGGATCCAAGTTAACTTTCCTACCCGTTGGTACTCGATGGAAACGAGTTTTTATTTCTTCATGTAATTTCGTGATACCCATCAAGAAGCTACAGAAATTTAACAAATTTAACATAATTTTCTTTTTGTAGAAATAATATCTATTTCAAATAACGTCACCTAATAAATCATGTCACCGTAAAAAGGAATATTTTCATAATGGAGTTACTGGTTTTGCAGTTCAACCCTCTATCGCGTTCGTGTTCAATACAATTCCCAAAAGCAAAGCGAAATGGTGACGCGTGAAGAATTCAAAATAAAGGGCCATTGAAAAAAAAAAAAAAAGCAATTGGAATTTTTCTTTGTCCATTACAGAGAATTTCGCAGGGGTCGTTCATCGAGGTGTCGTTCGAAGGATCGATGGAATTTTCACGCCAGGATCCCTTCCTTTTTTTTTTTCCTCTCCCTTTCAGAAACAAATGGTCAATTTTATCGCGAACTTCCATCTTCGCGTGATATACGGGCCCCTCCCTGTTCCTATCTCTTTTCCACCCTTTATGTCGATATCCCTGCGCTTCAATCTCGCGCGTTGGATATATTGAACTAGGTGTACGTAGGAAGATCTGCGATATAAGGTCCATTACGAGGACTCGAATGGAAGCAGCTATCTGAAGGTTCACGGTAAGGTAAAGGAGGATACGGACGATGTCATGGGTCGAAAGATTCTTTTTTCTCTGGATTTTCATCTGTATCAGATGTCAACGATGAATGGTCAATTTCTCTTGAATCAATATTTTCTGGAGCTGAGTATATTTCAAGCAGAAGAACTATTGAAATAGTTCTGAGAATATATTTGAAATTCTTATTTCGAAAGTATTTCTATTTTTTACTTGAAATACTATTTCAAAGCAGTCTGATTTTATGTGCTGTTCAATATCTAACTTCTTATTTTATCAAATGTATAGTTACGATTTATAACTTTCTTTATGATGTGCTGTAAATTCACACGTTCTTGGTCAATAATTGATATTAAAATTGATTAAACTATCAGTAAATTTCGTTGTAGTAGAAAATTTTAGGAAATCAGATGAGATATTACAGCAACTTTAAAAAAAAAGTAATAATAATACTTCAATATTATTTCATACACTTGTAATTTAATTAATCCTCTCTCATTTTTACCTCGATTTTAATTCTAATTTTAATTCAATCTTGTATCTTTATTCAGGAAAAGTATGCGATAAAAAGTTACTTTAAGTATATAATAGATTAATTTTCTCCTTCGATAAACGCTAAAAATTTGGAATTCTTATTTCCATAATTTTCCAATATACATATTCTATATAAAAATTTTACTACTGATATGTATTTCATGTACATCACATTTTGATATGTATACGTTTCATCCTTACATCCTATTCCTTTTTACGATCCTCAATACCACCCTCACACGTAATAAAATACAAAAACATTCAATTTACAAACTTTAATTCACTATATGGCTCTATAGAAATTTAAAACCTCTCAACGAAATTGAAATTTCTTTCAAATTCAATTACATCTTAAACGACTTCTATCAATCTTACAGCAATCTATAAAATTGAATAAAACTAACAGCAACAGTAGCAATAAATGCCATTTTTGTTCCATAAATATTTGAAGCTATAAAACAAAAAATTAAATTTTCTATAATTATCAGATGCCTACCAAAATATTAATAAAAAAATTCAATTTCCATTTGCAATTATCCAGTGAGTCGTGTATCCTTTCAGAAAAAAAATCCAATGATCTTCCTAAAGAATTTTTACTATTCCCAATTAATGAATCTCTGATCATTAATCGAATGATTTGTAGGAGTAACGAAACCAAAGATCACCGAGCGTACTTGCACACCTCCCTTAAGCCTAATCCTCAAGGGTGGCCCTCCTCTTCCTGTACACGATAAGCTTAACGACTCGATATAACAACTTCCAATGTGGATTATAAAAATATTAAATCTTCTGTAATACGAACTAGTTAACCTAGATGATATGTAAATTCACGGACCAATGTGATCCATGCGACGCGTATCCTCCAAACGAATCGTTTCTGTTCCATGGAAATCTGCTTTACCAGAAACAGTTCTTTTCGTTGGATTCGCGTCAATATTTTATTTTGGCCGGCGTTACTGTTACTTGTATGTACGTGTGTGTAGGTACAGTTAGGTGTAACGTAGACTTCATTTGGTTAAGGGTTGATACAGGGGTAAGAATGTCTCGCTACTCGTCTTTGATCTCAGGAAAACCTTCCTTAGAATCTCGTAAAGAACACGAATAAAGACGACCAGTGAATCATTTCTGACCCCTACATTTTTTTAACTAAGAAAAACCCAAGTCGCACAAGACTGTACGTGCGTGTTTATGCGAGTATTTGGATAGCACACCATTTAGAATTTGATGCTTCGTACAAGAAATTGTGTTTATGTTATGAAAATATGAATTACTCAATCCCAATTATTTTGCAATGTATTCCGAGTTAAATTTTATTTTTTCTTTCATTTATTTTCTATCTATTTAATGTGTATATTCTATTCACTACTGATATGTATCTGATATGTATTTTATATGTATCACATTTTTTGATATGTATACGTTTCACCCTTACACCCTATACTTTGTAACTTTTTAATAAAATTTGTATGGAAAGCAACGAATTAAAAAATGGTGCAATATCTAAATATCGATGTAAGTAATTGTATATGTAATGCAAGTGTGTATATGCGTGTGTAACTATGGAACAAGACGAGGATGTTGCGCGCAGCCACGCGGAGGAAGGAGTAACAGCATCGATGGATCGTTCCGCTCTCTTACCGGAAATCGATCGATCTAAATACCCGGGGATCCGTGCAATGTGCTCGAATTCGTTCGCCACGAGAATCGACGGACAGACGTCCGATCCTCTGACTAACGACCCAGTCGGAATCAACTCTACGGCAACGAAATCCCATAGGACACGCGTGGCCGTGAATGATATCAAGGGTCGTCCTTTGAAATTCCTTCGCCAATTCTATCTACTTCCTCATCCACGGGATCACCTCCATTTTCCTCGATGGGTCATTCAATGATCTCGTTATCGATTTCACGAACAATTTGAACACGTTTTCAGTGACAATGAAAATCTTGTTATTTGAAATTAGAAAGAAATATGTATTTTAAGGAATTAAAAATAAAGAATGCTGTTTGTATATTTATGTTAATCGTAGGTATTCTATGAGTGAACGGATAGTTCGTATATTTCATTAAAAATGATACGTGTGTATATGTTGCAAAAGTTGATATCTTCCCTGAGATTAGCTCTATTTAACTCTAATTATTCTGCTCGGTATGAAAAATTCCTGGAATGATAAATAAACAATTGGTGTTGCATTCGAAACAGAATCTTCGGAAACTCTCCTTTCATTGATAATTCAAAAGGTCCAATTAATTCGCTCCTCGGGGCTTGAAACAATTTCAATTACTTTCATTCGAAATCTAATTTACTTCAATTAAATTCAAACGTTTTATCACTCGATCAACCTTCTTCACCTTCGGATCCAATTATTCCATCAAATTTTCAATTCCATTGTCATCCCCGAGAGGATCATTACGAATCTCAAATCAATCCGCTGCGTTTCAGGGATGGATTCACCGTTTCAGGGACAATTAGCACGCGAGTACTCGGGATTTACCGATAATAATGACGAGTCCTGGCCGGAACCGTATATCCATTAAATTGCATGCACTCGATTTAATGGCTTGACTCGTTGCCACGAGCCTCTTCAGGGTGCACTCGAGTTCGCTTGCTGCTCGAGCGCCCTTCCTGAAGAGGCCCGCAGGATTGTTGGGCTCGCAAAGAAAGCGTATCGCGTCTTATTTTTCTCGAAGGAACTCTATCGCGTATCGTTAACCCTTTCGTTGTTATGGGTGTACAGTACGGGGCATGGATACTTCTCTGGAGGAAATTTCAAAACAGCAGGGATACTATGCAAGAATAATAAAGGCTTAGCAAAACGATAATTGAATTCCGAAATTTTGGTCTTAGAAGAAACTGTTTCGAAAATGAATAGTGTGTAATGTTTATCCTGATTTCTACCTTCTCGGTAAGAAGTCCTACACGAAATGTAATTAATATATAAAAATGATCATTCGAGCACATTGACGGTGGATAATGTGTACCATCGAGCTGTTACCCCGTTTTAATCTTAAAGCTAATCAGTAAAATATAAAAGGTACTCATCCTGATCAGCCTCGATTCTCTCCACGACGAGGAGTGCCTGTTGCGGATAAATCCTGTTCCTCAGGAATCTTCGTAAACGACGCCAAACGAACGCTGCGGATCTGCGATTCTTCAATTAACTCCGCTTCACTCTCCGTTTAGACGAGCTTCAATCACGAAGGTATCTTCTTTCTCTTCATCACGAAACATTTGCTCGATTCAAGCAACGATGATGCTCGTTAATTTCGCCCTGAATCCTCTTGGACGGTGTTTCAGTTAATTTCCCACGTAGACCGAGATGTTGGAGTTTCTTTGAAATAATTAAAAGCCTTGCACGAGTACTCGGACCAGCCGAGTTGTTACAGAACGATTTCGTTATAACGCTGTTATCCGAATTTCACGCGAAGACACCTTCGTAATTTCCATCGATGGGAGTTTGGAAAATTCGCACACGCCCAGCGATAGTTCTTCAGGGAACCGTCGCAAACTCCAGGCTCAGCGATCCATCGTGGCTTCACGCAACACTTTCATCATGGGAACCGTTTCCTCTCGACGGTTATTCCTCAGGCCAACCCAGATCCTCTCCTACGAGCTCGTAGAATCGTTGGTTATGTTCGTTGAAGAACCTCCTCAGCTTGGTGACCACCACAGGACTGACCCGCGGATGCCGTCTACCTTTGCTCTCTTTCAAACACTTCTCCGACGTTTCGTTGCGCAGGCAGTAGAAGCCTTTCGTATGGTTGAAATAGAAATTGTGCCTACCGATTCTAGGTTCTATTCCTAGGAAACTCTCGATCCTGCGCAGCTGCGGTACCGGATCCTCGATCAGTTGGTCGCCGTTCACTATGAGGATCTGCTCCCTGGAGAACACCTCCAGCCACCTGTGCATGTACGTATGATACAGCGAGATGGCGACCGGTCTGTACGATTCGTTGATGGTGCCGTCGGGTCGCATCACTAGCTCTTCGAAACTACGAGCAGCTTGTTGCTGTTGTTGCTGCTGTACGCTGCGAGGTGTCCCATTGGTTACGGTGGACGCGGTCGCTGCATGGGTCCTAAGCTGAGTGTAATCCGAAATCGCCCGGGTAACCGGCTCTCGGACGATCAGCAACAACTTCACGCTCGCGTTCATCGCGCGGATTCTTTCGGGTACCTCGGGTGTTACGAAATAGCTAGGACTCTTCTCGATGGTGATCTGCCCTCTGAAAGAATACGGCATTTTTCTTCGGTACCATTCGAGACCTTTACCATAGTTGTCGTCCCGGTCGAAGAAATGGACCTCGCCAGCGGCTTTCTGGATCTGAGGGTGTAGGAAGAGCATCTCGAGGAGCGCCCTGGTGCCGCACTTGCGCACGCCGATTATGATTGCCTGAGGTAGATGACGACTAGTACGCGGGAAGTGGACCTTGCTGGAGAACAGCAATGGCGGGGTGGCACGGACTTGCGATACCAACTCAACGGTACGACCCTCCACGGCCGATGCAGCGTGCAGACTGTACACCGCGCTGTCGTAGAGGATGTGGAAGGTGAGAAACAGGGAGAGGAGGACAACCGTGAGGAAGGCTGCGGCCATCTTCGGTCTGGATATTCCTACCACTAGGATACAGTCCGAAGTGTCGCCCTCGGCCGGCCTCATGGCAGAGCGGGGCATCCACCTGCGAACAGATCACAATATTTCTATTAATAAGATATCTCCATTTCTATTGCCTCCATATTTTATATTCTTCTTTCAAGGTATTCCATTTGAATCTTTTGACAAATCTTATTTAAATGTTGGATACATTCCACCTGAGCTCTTTTTGTTTTTTTAAATAAGCAATTTTCCGTGCTACTATGTATACCAAATCATAGTTTGTCCCTTTAAATTCTCTATGTTCCCTAATTTCGACATGCAACAGCCGCATTAGCAGCACGCGTCGCCTCTAATTTATTCTTTCCACGCCCCGTAAGTTATTAAGACCGACGTACTTACTGATTCTTACATGCATACTGATAACAATAAGCGACACGGTTGTTCGCATGCGTTTACAGGCCTGCGTGATACGACTTCATCGTGGTACGTGTACCCCAGAGGTGTGCACAGGTGAATGTATCCCAGGGAAACGCTATGTTAAGCACGGATTTCATCTGGTTCGTTAAGTATTTGCCAGTCGGGCTAATTAAAACGCGATAACTGTAATACGATAGCTGTAAACGTATTGCTATTAGAAAAATCCCAAGAATTTCTTCTCATCTTCTCCTATAGTTTTATACTGTTCTACATTCATTTTTAATTATACGATATTATGCTGGCTTAATTTGCTTCTCATAGTAATACGTTTATTAACATATTTTGTTAATTATGTAAAGTTAATGTTCCTTTCGGGCATATTAAAAGGAATATCAAGAGGCTTAGAACGAATTAAATCTCTTTATGATCATGATCGTAATTATAATAGAATCTTCCTTAATGAAGCGTTCAATTATTAAATGATCGCACTGACAGTTTCCCTTCTTATCTTTATATTTGTTTAAGAAATGCTGTGTTCGTATCTTTGATAAGAATAACAGGAGTTATAATATGCAGTATATTTGTATTTTTCAAATAAATACAAAATATAATAGAATATAATGAAAAAAATAAATTTAGAGTAAAACTTATCAAGGCAAACTTACGTAAGAAATAATTTTCGAAATATTTAATAATTTCCTTCTCGAATCCTCAATTTCTTCGAAGAACCACTAATTACAATCAGACTTAATTAACGCAACAATGAATCTTCTGAGGAAAAGATTCGTAGGATGATTAACGCACAAGTCAAATTAACAGAAGGCGCAGAAATTGCATCCGGTGTGCGATGAAGTTTTATCGATACTGTTGGAAACGATAAATCAAGAAGAAGCCCGCATGCAGTGTCACGGAACGAAGGGATCTTCCGAGAAGAACAATGTGTACACCAGATAAGAATAATCGCGTAGGAAACACTGACATAAGCCACGCGATATAAGTGTCTGTTAAATAAGATTAATTATACATCCTACTATGTACGTGATCGCAATGCATAACAGGATAAAAGGTATCATTTGTTTAACAATTTCTCTTTAGGAGGCGTTAAAATTCGCGTCGTGGGTATCTCAGAAAGCGCATTTATCCAGGAAAATTTATCGAACTTCTCGAATCGAATAATACTTGAAAACAATTATTTAAGATGATGATCGAAGGAAGCATTAACACCCCCGCCTCGTCGCTGTCGATGCTAATGGAAGCCGAAGAATCAGCAGGATCTCAGTTTCTAAATAAAAGGGTTTTAATGAACTTTCTTCCCAGCAGAAAACATTCGGTCTGGCGCTATGCAGGCTGTGAATAAATCCGAATTTAAAGGCGATGAAAGTTTCAGCTGGAAGCACTTAAGCTTAGAATAACTAACGAACGTTTGAAAACGAGTGACAGTTCAGGAGAATGGGAATCGAGTTTCGGACGTTGTCACTGATCTTTTATAAAGCAACGACCCAGAGGATCGCGAAGAAAATTTTTTAACAGTTTGTCGTATATTCTGATAGTATTTGACGAACAAAATCGAAAAATTACCACTTCTGTCAAAATAGAAATTAATAATTAAACGTAAAGTTCAATCAAACGTTTAGATGATTAACGACCTAAGGAGGTAGATCTACTTTGGAAAATTGGCCTACGTCGGGAAAAATCCGAACTCGTCGTCGTTCGTTTTTCGAAGGGGAAAAAAAGGGGACGTTATTGGGCAGGTGGATGGCAATTCGAGGGAAACAAGCGGCGCCGAAAAACCGCAGTACCGTTCTATCCTCTGGTTTCGATCGGTTGATTTTAGCGACCAAAGTCGAGAGAGGGGGATCCTGGCTTTCGGCGCAACGCCAAATATTTATCTCGCATCGCCGGGATCTCTCTTTGGGAACCCATCGACCGTATTATCGCAACAAATCGCAATTTCATCGGTTAACTTCCGCGCGAACGATCGACTGTCGAATGAGCAGCCTTTGCCTGCTTCCTGCTGTGTTATTGCACCTGTCGCATTTAGCACGTCGACCTTGCGTTTCGCTGTATGAATCAGCTAATTCCGACCTACTCCTACGAGTCGGAATTTTTAATCGTAACAGCTTCTCTTTTGTTAATTAACACGTTCAGCCTTGGGATCATTTAAGAGGGTAGATCAAACGTTGACAGATTATTATCTATTTTGATGCAAGGTGTCTAGTTAATAACTCGTAAAGAACACGTTTCACACAGCTTCTCAGTTACGTCAATTTTCATAGCAATTCGCGGTGAAATTGGAGCAGTTATGATAAGTGTAATTTTAGGACAGCATAGCTCACGGTACATCGTTTCTGCCTACTAATTGCATCCGTTTCGTGACTTCTCGCCATGTCCGTTGTGTTAAAATTGAAGAGCTTATCTCGTAAACCGGTTCAATTAGAATCTACGGAAAACGACGATCTTCTTGTCACGAAGAATAACGTAGAAACCGTAATTAACTAATCCCATTAAAATATTTTCACAAATTCTTCACGATTCTTCGGTAAAATTTCAATGTAACTCTGATTATTTCTTGTAATTTTTAATCAATATATTAAGAACGTTAATTATACAAGATTTCAGAATACATCATTACACAGTGAAAATAAAATTGAACGAATACTGAATCGCGTTCGGTTACGTCGAAACGTTGCTTTATTTAATCGGGGAAAATTTTAATTAAAATACATCAATTATGGAACTACGAATATTTGTAACCAACTCGACGGATCAGTGTGAATTTATGAAAAATTCAACGTAATCCTGAATTTATTTTTCACGTACGGTACCTACCATTTTTAATGTCACCTGAATTATAATATATACATATGTCGAGGCAGAGAAACGTGATTTTAAAATTAATCACTTAATAAATTTTCATGGAAAATATACGTTAACCCTCTCTCTGAATATGTTAAAAACAACTACATAATTACTATTGTAATTAATAAAAGTATCTTTGAAGTATTACATCTATATTCTCTAATATTTTTCAAATATCCTGAACTCTAGGACGACGGACCATGGAGAGAGGCCCAATTTTAATATTTAACTTTAAGCTTACGCTGTTCACGGCTTAACTATTTCAGGTGATACAACGGCCTGATTTTTCACAACTCATTATTCGAAAATAATAATTAACAAACGAGTACTTACAATACATGAATAGGGGACTTGGGAGACCACTCTTGACGAGGCCGTGCCTTGTTGGGCATTTGCGTTAGTTTGATTGTTCACATTCTTGAGATTTCTGTAACGAAAAGGTAAAAAGAGAAAAGGTTAAACTTGGTCCTAGCAACTCGAAGAAACGTTTCGAGACAACAATACAAATTGCTAGCTGCATTTTGTTTTCATTGTGACTTTACAGAAATAAACGACATTCGCCTTACGATAAGAACATGGATAAAGAAACATCTAAAAAGGAAGAATAACCGAGATACTTTTTGAATTTAACATATTTTTATATTCCACTTACACGGAACAATTCTACTCGTATATAATTCACATTTCTAGTTCGATAAAAAAGAAACAAAATATGCAGTTTCATAAAATGCAAACGCACTGTTTTTACATGTAAAAGAGTATTAGAATAGAATGTTAAAAGAACGAACAATTCGCGAGGTATTTCAAGTTTTTGTATGAAAAACCGTGCTTTTGAATTTCAAAAATGTCACAGGCTGTTGACTTTTTCAAGGATTGATCTACGTGAAAAAAATGTTGCTGTTTTATTTAAAAATATAAACAAAAGTTGCTGCCAAATTTTCGAGGCACCTCCGCGAGAACAAGACTTACTTGAATTTTGTTTGAACAATTTTTGAAGGTGAAACAATTTATACTTGCACGAAAGCTTAGGATAAAATGGTTACGCGTTATAAAGGATTCAAGACGTGGCAAGTTCGAATAAAAGTGTGTACAAAAGGAGTAAGAAAAAATCTTCAGACGGCGCGGCGAGGAGAAATTAAAAGAGAAATTCTTCTGTTGAAACCATCTGCAACGACAGTGACTCGCGATGCGGATTGCAAAGTTTTCAAGAATACATCCGCCGCGGCGTGGCTCGGCTCGGTTACAATCCTGTCGTGCTCTTAACTCTTCGGGATAAAAACACTCGAGACCGTCAAGCAACAGAATGAGAAAAGTTATAACATTGTCCTCGTGGATTTTCATTCTCTGTCGCAATAACGCGACCACCTCTTCGCGAGTCACCCTCCAAATCGTTTGATTTCTCGTATTTTTTCATTTCCCTTGATATTGCAGCCACGCCGAACCTTTTTCGCCTTTATCGATACTGATAGCTCTTCGGAAAATGAAACTTTCTCTGATGAGAACTGACGAGTCGAAAATCGCGAATTAATCTCGGTTCCCTGCTTTAAATTTCATTACACATCCAGCGGTAACAAAAGGTTCCTTTTTTTCTTCTTTTCTCCGTCGTTTTTAAAAAATAAAAGAACACGAAGGATAAAAAAAAGTATTGATGACTAACGAAATTTGCTAGCTCGATACGTGCATCTTTGCAGTCCGTTGAAAAACTACGCGACGTTCGTTGGGTTCCTGGAAATCCGATTAATCGTTCCGTTGACGCGAGAACGTCACTGTGCATCGTTCGTACGTTCGTTCGTTCGTTATCTATTCATCGTGGCAATCGCGTTGCACGTCGCGAAATTGAGGAAATAAAAAAGGTACAGCTGGAAGATTCGAACGATGAAATTTTGCTCGAAGTACCGGGAAGATGATGAAACAATGGAAATCGAAATAAATCGTGAACGATCGTGATTTACACATGCTTTTTTAGACACCATTCTAGTCAAATATTACTAGTTTTCCTGTGTATACAGATATATCAAATAATAGACGATCCTTGAATAGCGTTTTCAATCTTTGATGCGTTTTGAAATTGGTCACAGAATATTTTGTATCAAGAATATTAATGAAACGTTTATAGAAACATTTTCACTGAACTTTAAACTTTAAATTGATATATTATAAGTGCTATTTTATAACACTTTTCTCTCATGAAATCGTCATAGACTTTTTATATTTCGAAACTGGATATTCGATGTAGTACAGTAACATTGTTCGTTGCAATCCACGACCACTCATTCTGTGTCAGGAATATTAATGAAAGCTTTATACAGTTATTTTTAATAAACTTTAAGCTTTAATTTAATGTAGCACAAGTGCCATTTTGTAATGCTTTTCAGTCATGAAATAGCGACGGACTTTCGACTTGCCGAAATTCGTCGTTTAACAGGAACCATCTTAATATAATTAAAGAAATGAAAAATTCTTCGACCGATTTACAAAATAACAAAAAAATAAGGTAATAAACGAATGATCACTATGAAACACCATTTGACGAATTCGCAATTTTGAAAATGAAATTCGTGCGTATAAATAAGGTAGTAATAAGCGAGCGGTAATCCGGCGGTCCAATTAAAACGCTTCCATTCTGAAGCGTTGTGTTAACGCTAACGAGCTAAAGGCCAAAGCGGAAGCTCTTCAATTATGCAAATTCCCGGTGATAGTGTATTCACCTTTTCTTCGACGACCGTCACCCCGCCGTCTTTTCGTATCGTCATCACCGAAGCCTCGCAACCTTTCGAGCGCAATTACGCGATCTCTTTCAAATATTACACTCCCTTTTGCTTTTCATTGTCTCTTACGATACAATAGACAATGAAATTTTGCGTCGTATGAAACGAATGCCAACGAGATTAATTAATCGTGGATCTCTCTGCTTCCTACTGAAATACCCGAACGCAGCAACAGTTTTCAGAAGATGGATGAGCGGGAAACAATTTCAGCTCGGAGGTAAAACGATCTTCGAAACTCGCACGTTAAAGTTTCCCTACGAACAATACTTTATTATTGCTGTTTATTTCTAAGAAACCTGTTAAAAAGTGTCTCTCTATTATTACTTAATAAAGAAGATTGAATTCAATAAATTTTGTTGTGAATTTAAAAACAAAAAAAATCTAATGAAACTTTAACATATTTATTTCTAAGAAACCTATTAAAAAGTGTCCCTCTATCATTGCTTAATAAAGAAGATTGAATTCAATAAATTTTGTTTTGAATTTAAAAATAAAAAGAATCTAATGAAACTTTCCAAACAATTTATGAAACTTTATTTATTTCCGACTTCTGTCGAGCAATTCAATCTTCATCAAAGGTACAGTAAATAACTATACATTTAACAAACTTCATGGACAGAAGAAATTGAACCCTCGTAAATCAGTCACCCTCTGTGTGTTGCAAGAAAATTCAAAGCCTCGCGTTTGGTGGTAGAAAACAAGAAGAAGAAAAGAACGAAATCGATACATCGAATAGCATAGAGGTTAATGATGCAGAGTAGAAGGGAAACGTGTATACGAACCCTTCCATACACGACATTCTTCCGGTTGCATAACAGCTCGCATCGACAAGGCCGTACGGTTCGTCCTGCATGGCCGCTTTTCGCTCCCTCAAACTACCCTTTCTTGATCGTCGACATGCAATATAGGGAACACGCAACTGGAAGACTTTCATCTATTTTTTTTTTTTTTTTTTTCGTTCACGATCAATCGACTCGGCCGACAGATGATTATGGGTTCCTTTCTTTCCACGGATCACGCGGTAATTTACCTTTGAATATTTTTTCGCCACTCTCAGCCTTACACGGTCGCGTGAAACGTTCTATTGTGATTCAAAGACGATGTCCTCTTTTCGAATCGACCCCCTTTTTATCCACTATTTTTTGCAACCAATACACAGAGATTTATTGGTTAATCGCTTTCAACACGCATGGCGTTTTCGACAATTTTTGAAATTACTTTTATCCATGCGATTTCAGGCATTTCTCTACTTTGTCAATTTGTCTATAGAAGTGTGACGATTGAATGCTATTAAAAATATTAGCGACACGAGAAATGAATAATCAGAAGAAACATGGAAATATTTTAAGTAATACAATTTTCTTAATAATTTAATTTTTTTACCAAATTTTTTTATTAATTAAATTACTGAAACTGAAACACGAGTAATGATGGTCTTCTTTTCTATGAACGATGATAGTCAACTTGTACTTTATTGTTAGGAGTGAAAATGAAATAAAGCAGAAGAAAGTTTGCTATCGTGCCACCGCGAAGAAACAACTTTCGAGCTATTCTTATTTCGTGTGATTTAAGAACGCTTCCAAGAACATTATTCAAATCCTAAACTGGAACCGTTATCTGACGATCGTTAACGTACACGGTGTGTAGCATCGTATATACCGTGGCCAGCTTTTCAGCGTGTTAAAAGCCACGAACGTTCCTCCGTTGGATGCGCCGCGAACACGCGAAACCTGTGGCAATTTTTTTATTTCTTCTACTTTGCACTAGCTTCGTTCTTAATCGAGAGATTGCCATTTCGCGAGAATCGTTCGCAATAACCCTTGATATGCTGACATTTCCTTCGCGAAGTTCGAGTGATTTAAAAGAGCCTCCTAGATGGAAATAATGGAAATTAAAAAATAATATATTCTCCTTCTATTTTCTGTGAGAAGAAAAGCTGTTATAATTGTTCCATCAGTTCATGTTAATTAGGAAACGTTTCTAATGCTGCTAATACCTATCACGCATCCTAATGTGTTCTATTAACATATTTGCATTACACCCACGATAAATGTTCCTAATTAACAACGTATTAACTGAAAACATTCAATATTTGCTGCTTACGTTGACGTACAAGTGTACCGTTAGCAATGAGCACACTTAATTAACAGAAGGTTAATTAATCACGCGCTTGTTACTAATCTCGTACGACTATGGCTAATCAAGTATCAATTTCTCGTTTCATTGTATTATTTAATTATTGCAAACTTAAGACATTTTTTAAATATTAATAAATAGATATCGATGATATTTCTATCTATTTTTTACCAGACTGTTTTATTTTAAATTAAAATTATTATTATTATAAAACAGAGGTTTCATTATATTTGCAATCCTCATTCTGTAACAACGATTCTGAAAAAGTTTCACAATATATAAATTACAGTATACAGCGTTAATTATTATGGAAGAAAGAAACAAAAGAAGCATTGTAACAATTTATGCGGGCAAGTTTGAATCGGTGTGCTTGCATAGATATGAGTTGGTTCAAAGTTTCTTCAAAATTATTGATCCAGTTCGCTGGGGATCGAGCGAGGGTTGGAAAAGTTTTCAGAAATTTCGCGTGTTCAAAGCACATAGAACATTAAGGCTTTAAAGTAGCTATTCAACCCCCCTGGAA